AATAGTAAAATATTTCTTTATCTGTACCCAAACTGGCAGCATCAAGTGATGCATGTAACTGGCATTTGTAAAACTGCACCAGGTAGTGCCTTGATATAACTTTATGTCCTGATATCTACAACATAAAGAGCATATGATCATTCTATTAAAATGATGTTTTGCTTATAACACATAAACCAACAGGGAATTCCAAGAGCACATTTTGTTGACAGTGAAAAATTCAAACACTTTAGTGTTCTAACTTTGTATGTTCTTCGTAATTTATTTCAAGCTATGTCCTTATTTTCCTGTGAAAGCTACAACTGGTTCTGTTATATATTTTTCAAGATCCAATCTAACAGTTGAATTTTCCTAAGCTGTAGAATTTATCAAGGTGCTCGTATATATTCACTGTATGTTTTCCGCTGTCTAGTCAAGTTCTAGTGAAATGTACAATATTTTTGCTTCTGTATTACTGCTGAGGCCAGAACCTGCTTGACAGAGAACATCAAGACATGAAGAAATGTCTGCCCAACTTACCTACAAGCATATTCTGATTTCACATAGTTATTTGTTAAAATGAGGAAATAAAATACTCCTTTAAAGATAATGCTTTTTTCAGCTCCCAAAAAAGCTGACAGGTGTATTTTTTAACAACTTAAGCTCCGGAACATTTTACCTCCTTTCCTGACCAGGACATTTTTTGCTATTTAACACTGTGCTACTTTAACAAATATTTACATGGTCTTACAATGCAGTACTCAAATGAAATGTATATTTTTTTATCATTTTCATACAAATTGAGCTTTCTTTTGGTGGTATTTGATAACCACTGGGTTTTTAATTTTTTATTATGTAAACAAAAAGAGACCAACATTTTTGAAAAAAAAAAAAAAAAAAAAAAAAAAAAAAAAAAATATATATATATATATATATATATATATATATAACTTTTTTTTGTCAAACATATTTTCTTGAATGTTTTAACAGTATACCGGGTACCAGATGAAAAGAAAGGGACATGGAGATTAGTTGTCATCTAAACTTACAATAATCATTTGTTTGCCAATATGGAGCTAAGATCGATTATATATTTCAAAACAGTACATTTAGGTTATTAACCTCCTTAGCGGTAATCCCAAGTGTAGCTCGGGGTAAAATCTCTATACCAAGAGCGGTAACCCCGAGCTACACTCGGGCTTACCATGCGGCGTTGCTCTGTGGGTCCCTGCAACACTTACCTTGTCCTTCGCTCCCGCGATGTGTCCCCTGCAGCATCCCCGGCCATCTCCTCCGGCCGATGCCAGCATCCGGCTTCTGTGTTCCGGTCCCTGTGACGTCAGGACATACGGGCGCCGGAACCGGCGGGAAATTTGAAATTTTTAAAAAATGTCATTTTTGCTGTCATTGCTGTTTCAATGCATTTCACATACATTTTGTCCCTACTGCTTTGTCCTGTGCCCTGCCTGCATTTTGAATGTTCTTTCTGCCTGGAAACTTAGAAAAGTCCATGGCGTCCAAAAAGCGTCCCTTTACATCAAAAGCGGTTTTAGAACAGCGATAGTAAATCAGAACCACTTGCAGAATTGAGTGATAATGATTCGTGGGGAAATTCGTCATCAGACACTGAAAACGATTTTGCGACTTTGCTCAGCGATGTGCAAATTTGCCTCTGTATTTCAAATTTCAGTGTTTTTGGTTTGATTATATTATTGAATTAAGTTTATTATTATTATATTATTATTTTTTATGATTATTTATTAAATTATAATTTATGATTTTGTGTTTCAAATTTTATCCTACCCGGGATGTTTAATAGACTCTTGTTCGTACAGATTTCAGTGAGTTATTCCTAAAAATTACAGCCTACAATAAAAAACTACATATTTCCATGCAAAAAAATCGTACCGCTTTCAGCACAAAAAATCGGAAAGAATCATACTGCCAAGGAGGTTAAGAAGGATACATCAGATATTAGAGAGAATACAAATATTGCAAGATGAGATATGTAGTAAGGCTGGTTTGAAGGCTTTATTAACAAGAATCAGATATGTATGTGAGATAGCATGACTTCATAGTAACCAGTAATATCTAGAGTAGGCATAATGGGGGAATATAAGGCAGTTTATCTTGGGGTATGGTTGGTACCAGCCCACATTTGGGTGGGGGGAAAGGGTGTATGTGGCAGAGTAGTAAGTGGTGATTAAAATTGGGGAATTACCAGTCTGGGCATATAAATAATAGCCTGCATTATCTACCTGATCATGCGATGGGTTAGGAATCTGGATGTACCAGTTTGTTGTCTAATAAATGTTAGTTTGTGAGGGTGTCCAGCACCAGGGGAGATGTTTGTTGTAAGTAGAAAAGAGTGAGGTAGATAAGGAGAGGGAGAGAGAAAAAAAAAACAAACAAAAAAAACAAATGAACAAGAAAAAAACAGAAAAAAATGGGTTTGTCCTATGGGGCCATGAAGTAGAAAGCTTCTCTCAACTCATCCAGTGAGTGTGGGAGGCAGGTCAAAATGATACCATGTAAAGGAAAAAGAAAAGGGGGATATGCCAAGCTATAGTATGTTTTTCTTTTTGTTCCCTCTTTTACTTTTTCTCTCTTTTCCTTTCACCTATTTTCCTTTTACTTTGTTTTTTCCTTCCCCTCTTCCTCCCTCATCTCATCCCCCTCCCCCCTTCCCTTTGAAAGGATTAGCAAAGGGCATTCCCTATCACGTGATGATAATCATCAGTTGATTGGAAATGGAGCCAGCATGCCCAGGTTGATGTAAACTTGGTAGGTCAATCCTTTGCTATGCTTATGAGAATGAATTGTAGAGATTACATGTTGTTGTGGAGTAGGCTTGGAGCAAAGACTCTCAAAGGGGGTGAGAGGTTCTGACAATGCAGCAGACCTGTTAAGGGAATATAAGAAATTATGAAGTTGTGAATAGGCCCACAGGCTCATGCCTGCATCTGGTCTTAGAGCACAAAAGGTATCATAGTCAAACAGTTTACTTTTGAGGAAGAAATGGTGCAAACACTATTTGCACTCCGGGTCTGCACCTAGTAGGAATGTGAGTGTCATCCCAGCTTGGAAGTCTGGGTTCATTTGGACAGGGGTCATTTGTTCAGGTATTGTTGAGATCTTGAATTTGAAGCACACTTCTCAGAAGCAAGTCAATGTTGGCCCAATAAGCGGGTGGTCTTGTAGGGAGGCTGGGATATGACCTTTCTTTATCCATGGGATATTACTCAAAGGCAAATTGGTGAATGCAGTTTCTAGTTCAATCCAATCTTTTGCTAAGTGATGAACATTCCAATCTAATATGCATGACAAGTTGCTTGTTCAGTATTAATATTGTAAATCTGGAAGTCCTATTCCTCCTTGTAATTTGGGGGTAGATAGTTGTTCATTGCTGATTCTCGGGTGACCTCTGTTCCAGAGGAAGGAAGTGCAAATTTTCTTGTACGAATGCAAGAAGTTAGGGGGAAGGTTGATTGGAACTGTTTGAAGTATCTATAATATAGTTTTGGAAGTACATTCATTTTAAGGATGGCCGCCCTGCTGAACCTTGAAAAGAGAGGCTTATTCCAGTTTTGGAGATCATCCGAAATGGTTCGTATAATGGTCAAGTAATTTCTGAGGTATAATTCAGATAAGTGCTGTGGTAGCTGAATTCCCAAATAGGTCAGAGCTTCTGATTGCCATGTAAATGGAAAGTTCTGCTGGCAAAGCTTGATTTGTGATGATGGAAGTAAGATATGCAGGGCATGGGATTTACTAAAGTTAATTTTAAAATTGCAGACGTATTTGAAAAATGTAAATTCTTTCAAAAGATTAGGGAGTGTGATGTGAGGTTCTGATTGAGCAGAATGTCATCCAGAAAGGCTACAAATTTGTATTGACATCCAGCTACTGTAACACCATGGATATTCTTATTCATGTGTAGGCAATTTATGAAGGCTTCTAACGTAAATAAGAAAAGCAATGGGGACAGGGGGCAACCTTGTCGTGCTCCATTGCGAATGAAGAAGGCATTTGATAGGTGGCCATTAATCCAAACTTTTGCTATAGGATAGGGACATAATAAAGTGAGTGAAATGACTTCCTAGACCTAATGCCTGCAGAACTGCTTCTAAGTAGTCCCATGCCGACCTATCGAACTTCTTCTCCGCATCCAATGACAAAAAGAAGCCATGCTGTTTGGAACTGGTGAGCCAATGATGAATTGAATGTTTAGGGCTTTTATGGTGTTATCCCAAGCCTCTCTGACTGGGACAAATCCCACCTGATTTATTGCTAAAAGGAAAAAGCAGGGAGTAAGTAATTTGAGTATGGGGGATCTAACTACAGCGCTGAGCAAACTGTTGGCGCTATATAAATATTGTATAATAATAACTATCCAGCAACAAAATTAGACTTGCTAATCTGCCCAAAGTGAAGAGGGGGGAGCCAAAAGGATTTCAGCAGGAATTTACATTCACTGCTGATGGTGGAGGTAGTTAAACATGAACATGAGATGTTGTAATATATGAAAAAGTAACAATTAAATTGGAAAGATCTGCTAGCACACTACTGGTCTTAAGGTATAAGGCAGACAAGAAGGAGAGTGATGAAAGAATAGGAGGTTTTAGGGCATGTGGTTGCTTGACAGCATAATTATGGCAGATACTAGATGGAGTAATTACTGTGGATATAAGCAATTCCCAGCTTTTGGGTTCCAGTAGTGGGAGGATGGGGTCTAACTATAGAAGGCATCAGGCATTCAGGACTTTATCCTGAAAGACACATTGAAGTAGGACATGAAGAGGATAAGTGCAGGAGTGGATGTAATTCTATTACTGCTGTTATCCTAGCCCTGGTGATGAGATGGGATAGCTGTCTCTATGCAACCCTCATAGGTGAGATGCTCCTCACCTCAAACATAAGGCTTAGAGCAGGCCTTGAAATTTCCACTCACCAGCTCGCATTGGCGAGTGGAAATTATGGTGGGGGCGAGTGTGTCCCCAGGGCCATCTTGCTGAGCAGGCTTGGAACTCAGGGCTGGATATGTCACTCGCACTGGGAGCTGTCAGACTGCTCAATAGTTGAGCAAAGTGAAAGCAAAGGAAGGAGTGTGTGCTGTGCTCTCTGCCTCCCCCTAGAGTGCAGTACTCGGTTCTGTGAGTGAAGGCAACGAAGTACTGCAACTTTTTATAGGGCTGTGTGTGTGTGTGTGTATTTGTATGTGTGTGTGTGTATTTGTATGTGTATATGTGTGTGTTTGTGTATGCATGTACATGTCTGTGTGTATGTACATGTGTGTATCTGTACATGTGTCTGTGTGTATGTACATGTATGTGTGTGTACATGTGTCTGTGTGTACATGTGTCTGTGTGCATGTACATGTGTGTGTGTGTGTGTGCTTATGTAAGTACATGTGTCTGTGTGTACATGTGTCCATGTATGTATGTACATGTGTTTGTGTGTATGTACATGTGTCTGTGTATGTCTGTACATGTGTCTGTGTGTGTATACATATGTCTGTATGTGTGTGTGTACATGTGTCTCTGTGCGTGTGTGTACATGTTTCTGTGTGTATGTATGTACATGTCTGTGTGTGTGTACAGGTGTCTCTGTTTGTGTGTGTGTATGTACATGTGTCTGTATGTAAACCTACATGTATGGGTTGTTTGGTCAGGTTCAGGATTATGTGGGTTGGATAGTAGGTAGGATATGCTTGGTAGAGTTATGGTTTTGTGAGTGAAATATTATGGGGGGTTTTGGTTGTATGCGGTGCATGGTCTAAGTATGATGGAGTTTTTAGGGGGACATTGGAGGCCCTGGTGTAATGTGGGGGGACTCTGGGGACCCTGATGTAATGTGGGTAACATTTAACAGTGTCATTTCATGAAATAATTTACGAGGGCGTGTTTAGGGTGGAATTAGGGGTGTAGCAGGGTAGGGGTCGGTTGATGCAACTGGTAGCGAGTAACTCTTAAGGCCTGGCTAGTAGCTCAGGACTTAAAATTTTAAGCCCTGCCTTAGAGTGTAAGGTATGTATGTATGTTTTTATGGCAGCCTGTGCATATGCATTTGTAGATGACATAATGATTCAAAAGAAAAAATAAATGTAAATACTGTGTGTGTGTACTGTGTATATATATATATAAAAAGGAAAATAGTACCATAAACCTTTATCATTACTTATGGATTACCTACCAATTAGGCTCCCAGCCAGAAAGATTACTAAGCTCCTAAAAGATCAGCTCATCCATGGTCACTACCCATTTAGGTAGACCATAAACCTCTAAGAAAGGCATTTAGGTGCACTGTGTCTCGAGCATATTTTGGTTGTAAAGACCAGAGCTGATAACTTCATAAACTCTTAGCAACTGGTATAGCTGTGAAAACATTTATAACTAGTAAACGTCTTTGGTCCTACAAGATAAGTAGATTAAAAAACCATGTGGCGAAGGATGACGATGCCCTGGAGGAGGGGTGAAATGCATTAACATAACTTCCGGTCTTCCTTCGCTACGCCATGATGTCATATCCGGAGAGAGGAATGCTTGCAGGACGCTGCGTTCCAGGGCCATCTTCATTGTGTCTGTTTCCATTTGAGCTGCCAGTTCATACTCTGTGGGAATCTTCATTGGCAGAAAGTAATTTGATGGTCATATGTAATTGACTCAAGGCATTTCTTATTGTTTTAACATGTGAGTGCAATTGATGCAGCTATTCTTAGAAATTAAATTATTTTTGACAATATAACACTATCAGTTTTTTTCTTTTTTATACTGATCAAATTATGTGGAAAATCCTTCTATTGGAGCATCTTTCTGAAAGGTGGAAATCCCTATTGGCAGGATATCTAATATCCAAAAGCGTATTTGACTCTTAATCATTTGAGAGTCCATTATATTTGGTGAGTGCAGTATATGTTGGTTATCACGGATGGTGTTAATGCACTGGCATTTTCTGCACATGTCACGTTTTTATTTCTTTGGAGCAAATTGGATTTAGGATATCTTCATTCATTTTTTTCTTTTTAATTTTCTGCACTTTGATTTGGACATTATTATTTTATATATTTTTCATTTATGTTTTGTGAATTTATTTATTTAGATTTAATAATTTTTTTTCCCTTTTTTGTATTCTTTCATTTTTGTTTGATTATTTTTAATATCTGATGCCACTGCATGCATATCTTCCAGGCATTACGATATGGAAGTGGGCGGTGTCTCAGAGTTTTTAAAAATTTATATTTTTAAATATATTCTTTAGATTTTTTTTAACTTATAAAAAAGTAATTTTAACGTATATTTTTACATATATTTTGTAATAAAAAAAAGGCATTTCAACATGCAGTATATATATGTATATGTGTGTGTGTGTATATATATATATATATATATATATATATAAATTAATTGAAATATATTTTGAAATAAATTGCATATTGCCAAAATTGTCACATTTCAAATATATGGCAATATATTTGGGAAGAATATTTTTTAAAATATATCTCAAATATATTTTTCTTCCATGTAGGATGAAATATCATTATTTTCTATGAACACTTTTTATGGCATGATAGTTTGATTTTAAAGAAATAGAATTTTTTTTAACTCCTTCCTGCCCAGCTTATTGCAAGATGATGGCCAAGTGGGATCCTTCTTATCCTTGGAGGACGTCATATGAAATCCTCACAGGATCACGCCTCGCACGGCACATGAGCAGTGCTCTGGTTGGATCTGTCACCTGCTATGTCTACCAGATATGGACGATGACAGATCACTACACTGGCCCACTGCCAATGTCATGTGATTGCTGTGACCAATCACAGCAGATCACATGACAGTTGTATGAATGGCTTCATTTCATGCCATTCATTGCTTATGTCTGTGCTGCTAGTTGCGATTGATCACAGTGCTCACATGTACAGACTGGGTGAAGCACATCCTATCTGAAGTATGTGATCAGTTGTGGCCAATCTCAGCTGATCATGACAGACACTACTGAATGAGTCAGTTTCATTCATTAAAAATGCTTGCTTATACCAATGAAATATGTTGGTATAAGCAATCATTATGTGCAAAGAAAAAAAATCCTGTTCACTTGCCCAGATTAGTACAATGTTACTAAAGTAACATTGTATTGATCTGGTCACAGGAGTAGCATACTGTCAACAGTCAGTGTCCCTGATCACCACTGCACCAGTTATATGATCACACTTTACTGCAAAAAAACTTCAAAGAACTTGCAATGCCTCTTACTAAATACCTCAGACTGTCTAATTGTCAAAAAGCGGTCATTTGGAGGTTATTTTTATTGTCCTGGCATGTTGGAGCCTCAAGAAATGAGATGTCAGTACATCAGTATTTATAAATTTTTAGATACATGCCATAGTGTGTGGACTATATAACTTTCCTACCACCTAAATAATAAACACTGATTTGGTGTATTTTCTCCAAATAAATGTAGCCGAATACATTTTGGCCTAAATTTATGTAGAAAGATTATTTGCTAAATTTTATAACAGAAACGAAGAGAAAAACGCTTTCATTTTCATAATTTCTGGTCTTTTTTCATTCATAGCACAAAAAACCCAGTGGTGATTAAATACCACCAAAAGAAATTTGATTAATGGTATAATTGGATATTAGTTGAGATACTGAGGTTTATTTAACAAAGACAAATGGGTTGGTTACTTTGCAAGGGAATTTTCACATTTTAAGGGAATTTAGCACATCTAAGTGAATGAGTTGCAGCTTTGTTGACTTTAATCAACCTATCCTGGGCAAACAAAAATAATGTTTATTGTCCTGGCTCGATTTGACATTCTTTGCAAATCAAATTTTCACCACAATCATTAGACTAATGGAAAATTTCCTTGCTAAGTGTTCATTCCCTTGCAAATTTATTGGCCAGTTTTCCTATAATATTTCAACTTCTGTATGTTCACTTGCAGTCTGCTTCAGACCTACAATCAAGCATTTAGTTTAAATTTTGATCTTTATGGGCCTGCCACTGTTTCCCATTACAGAAATACGAGGTCTGGGTTTCACTGACTGCTTTATTGCTTTCTATTATTGCATACAGCCATGGATCTATGTAAAGCATAGGCATTCACTGGCTTCATGTACCTAATAAGTAATTACTACCTCTATCTCACATAGAGATACCTTGAAAGGGTAGAAGAGAAGACAGGATCAGGTAGACCATGGAAAAATGGCTCAAAGATAGGTATTTTAGTGGAGATTTTAGACCCTTGAAGCAGAGACCCAAATTCAAGATCCAACTTGACTTGTCTTGTTTAAAGTATGAACTCCATACTAAATATAGAGCTGAAATAAAGCTAAATACAGAATTTCCCATCAAAAAAGAAACGTGTCCATTGGAATACAGAAACAATATATTGAAATGTGAATGTTTCCTATCAGGCAGCACTCTGTATACAAGCCCCTTATGTTTTACTTTGTTTATGAAAAAAATTATATTTATAAATAGACCTTGCCTTCCATTTAGGCATATGAATAATAGTATACAAAAAAAAAAATAAAACCACTATCAGGGTCATCCTTTTTGCTATCAGCACTTGACAACTGAGATTTCTTCCTAGAGTATAATATACATAGCCTTTCAAGTTGGATTTATTCTTTTATACTTTCACATTTTAAACTCAGTCCATAATAATAAAATTTGAACTTCACAGAAATAATATCTAGGTATAATCTCAGCCCACTGAGAACTCTTAAAAAGTTTATACCAAGCTGCATGTCTAAAAGGAAGAGAGATGGAAAACTCAACATGTTTCGAAAAAGGGATCTTCAAACTATCATCAAGAGAGAAAGAAAGGATTTAATCCAAAATAAAATCACATGAAGAGTCTGGCAAGTACAGGTTTATGCTAAAATGGGTAAAACATAGTGTTATCAGCAGCACAGTGGCAAACAACAAAGAACTGTAATTTTATTTACAGTGAAGAAACCATTGTAAGGAGGTGTCTGCAATTAATGTCATCATACTTTTGACAAGTCTCTTCCTAATGTCTTGGTTTTGGTTTGCTTGTTTTCTGATAGGGCAGTGATTTATTCTTTATGGTCAGGAAAACAAAAAATGAAAAAATAGCACATTAAAGTATATTTTAAGAATGAAGAAGTCATGCATTATGTTTTATTTTCTGTCAATTGTAATATAGCAATTCTTAGGGGTTTTTTTTTAGATTTTATTAGAGAACCAGCTAAAATGATTGGGGTTGATTTACTCAAACTGGAGCATTTAAAGTAACTCTACCTAGAAGCCAATCAGCTTTCAGTTTTTAATGTCAAAGCTTAACTGAGCAAGCCAAAGTTAGAAGCTGATTGGTTACCATGCACAGC